TTTTCCCCCCCCCCCCCCACAATATAAGCTATATTATATTTAAAAACTAACACATTTCATCAGGACCTAATTTTTCATATACATAACTTATAGTGCGGGGTCCTTTATCTAAAATGTTTCTCGTATTTATTGCGTTGTTGAAACAGATAAATGGAATTTAGATGTCACAGCAAAACAGTCCTTATACACATCGAGTCTGCTTGTTCGTTTGAATAACTACATGAGCCATCAACGAAGGAAAATACGATCGATTAGGAATACTCGTGAACATATTCCTTGTACTTGACTTCGCTTGTACCATCATTGATTGCGTCACGTTACTAGACTCTTACCAAGACTAATGAACGTAGGCTAAGTAAGCTTCTTTAAGCTACTTATGCGCGATCTAATTGTTGTGCTCGATATTCAACAGATCTATTTGAGATGGTTTCCTTTTGTGCGCTGCAAGTTAAATTACGGGCAAATATCGAGAAAATTGCTTTTAAAGAATAAAATTACAATTATGACTGAATGCGCGCAAGGTATCCTAGAACACATGATTCTAAATGTAATGATAAGCTCAATTTTCAAGAAAAAAAACTCGAAATTGATTTTTTGGCTGTTGAAATCATTTCAATTACTGAATATTGAGACATCTACAAAATTTCACGTAAAATAATTTATATAATATTAGGAATTTTAATCGCAAATATTTAAATATGTCAAAAATATATAAAAAATTATTATTAGAAATATATCTCGTGATTAGTACTTCTTTTTATACAAATATCCCGGTAGTTTTCATAGTCAAGCGTAAATCAGACTGAAAGGGGGAAATAATGGTTTTTCAATTTCATAGCGAGTCATAACGGGAAAGTGTTTGCGAAGTTGGCTCGATAGCGAACACTATAAATAAAAGAAGTATCTCCGTCTGCCAGTAGATTTATGAGTCTCGAAACTCAAGACGAAACTGGGTTGAATCGGATTCTGACACCGTAGAAACTTACTGTTTCATTTTGCAAAGTCGCTTTAATTACTGCGTAGTCTTCTTCTCCCTGCTTTTTTCTCGTCCCCCGAAAAAAAAGCTGAATACGCAGTGTTTTATGGAACTACCTACTATCTCGAAAGTTTTTCACTACATGAAAGAATTGCGCAAAACAAAACGGTAATTACGTTAATCTACGCTTTAATCCATTACTTTCTAAATACCAGTAACAAGGATCAATCTTTGTAATAATATTAAAGCAATAGAATTATATAAAGTGCTTCAGATCCTTTAAGTAAAATCTCATCAACACCGCTGCGGATTTCTCCGAAAGAGAGAAAAGAGCGAAAAAAAAGAAGAAATCCGATAAAAGAACAATGAAAAGAAGATTAAAACGGTCTTGTAACTCAATTTTCCACTTGAAAGCTCAAGTAAGGTATTTTTTAGAAACGATTATTATCAAATTACATATTTATTAGGCAGAATGACCCGAATACGTCCGGAAAAAAAGATTGAAACCCCATACTCGAGACTTTTCTTTCGCGAGAGTCGCAAGATTGTCATCCTTGGATTAGCGCCAAGTAGCGGAGTTACTAAGCGTCCGTGGCGCCTGTTGTAATTGCTACAATTGTTCCGCGGTTCTTTCACGAAAATGCAATAACCATGCCAGACGTTTGCCGAGGTTGCATAATTAATCTTACCGTGTACATCCGACAGCATCTCAATCGTCGGGATGTCTCGGGTAATCTTATTTAACTCCGCGAGACGGCGTCGCGTCGGAACCCGAGACGGCATGCAAGAAAAACCGTGGAAAATTATTTTTATCGTTTTTTTTCAGGTTCACGAGGATAACGCGAGGCCAAAAAGGGGCAAACATCAAACCAGCGATTGCCATGAGTTGCTCTGTGGGCGGCGCCAAGTTCTCAGATTAACGATGGATATTCAATTTCAAAGTGTTCACGTTGTCGTCATTTAATAGCGAGAGAAAGAGGAAAAAAGAGGGGGAAAGAGAGAGAGAGAGAGAGAGAGAGAGAGAGAGAGAGAGGAGAAAAGGAAGAGCATAAAGATCGTTACGTGGGATGAATACGTCTTCTAAGCGAAATAAAAGAGGCGCCCGTTCGCGACCGGAAGTACGGTTCCTTCCGACACGATGGTCTCTTCTACCCTCTCTTCTTCTTGCTAGGTCAGTTCTTTCAATACAGCTCTTTTTGACTGATACGAAACAATATAGCTATACAATGTAACGACGAAAAATTCAGATAGAATTACCGCAAAATTTTCTATAACACTGTGAATATTAATGTAGAATTATTAAAATTAATTACGACTCCTTTTACACATTTTTAATGATCAATGTAACAGATTCTGATATATCTTGCAAACTCTTGTATTGTTCCTATTTTATCAATTCCTTCAGTTTTTTTTTTTAATACTTGGAATACTCTAAAATACGATATCGATATTCCCAAGCTCTTTTTAAGAATCTAATATCATGTGTAACAAAGAAAGAGAGAGAGAGAGAGAGAGAGAGAGAGAGAAAGAGAGAATGAAAGAGATTTTCGATGATATTATATAAAATATCATGTTATCTGCGTATAATATTATCTGTGATAATATGACGGCTCACAATAATATTTTGCGGATTAAGTTAAAACTGGGTTTACCAATTAAATGTTGAAATTTTATCTCTGCAATATGTTAGTTAATACTACCATAAAATTACGTAATTTAAAAGTCAGTGTAAAATATGAAATGTTTTTTCATAGAAGGATTTTATTCGAAAGTTAAAAATTTATTTTTGCTTACTTTTTTATGTTTTGATAACAACATATGATATCGAATTATAAAGTACATCTCTGACATTTTCATGGCAATTTATGTGAGCAAATATGATGTTCACATTTCTATCATCTACACTACACTGCCAGCGGCGATCTGTATGTACAATGTTTGTTGTTTAAAACCAAATTGCATATTAAATTTCGAAGTAATTTTTATTTTTTTTTTTATTAATTATATCAAATTGTATAAACCAATTGTGTTGTATTATTTCACAAATCCTCTATTTAAAAAAAAATTTTTAACTGAATTAAAGTCGAATTTATTATAACTTCTTTTACGATGCCGATTAATTATTCGAGAAGTTCGATTGCGTTGTGATAAATTTTTTTATGATTTTATTAGAACATTTTATTATATTTTTTATAATTTTAGATTAGTAATACTGAAAATATAGCAATCAAAATACATACTCACATATGTAACAGAATAAAGAAAACAACTCTAATTAAAAAATTTCTTTACAAATCACAAAATAAGTGCACATACATATATAAAACTAGTGTGCGTGAGTATAATTATGCAAGAAGTTACGACACTAAAGTGACACGACACTAAAAGATGTAAAATGCTAAAATTTGATTAATTATAATCATATCAAAGTACGGTAGTATATAATTGCCCTGGTAATTTTCGTAGGAAGTACAAGAAATGATTGTACAACCAGACGATCCTTCACACGATGAAATAAATTTAAGTTCTAATGATAAAAAGAATTTAAAGAAGAACAAATTATCTCCAAAAAAAATGTACTTGTCAAAAAATTCATATTCTTACAAATTACAAAAAATTTTGGTACAATAATTTTGATATTATTTATACCACATTCTCTTTAGATTGTATTTATAAAGGGATTTTAGATGTATGTTATGTGTAAAGGACAAACAGAGAGAAAGCTCCTGCAATAAATATTAAATCTTATATCCAGTATATATATGAGAAATATTCGCAACGTGAGTATTTACATTTGTGAACCGTGCAATCAAATCTTTATATTCTTGCTACAAATACATATTTGCTCATATGCAATTATATATATATATATACTGCAATTTTAGAATACTCAATATAAATTTTAAGCCGATCACGATTGATTTACGTGACCCTGTTATGGCATAATACTTTACACAAATCGTAGCACGTATTATTCTCGTATTAGACTCTTGAACGTTCGTAAATCCTTTTCTAATATAATCGATACTCAACTGACCCGCTTGCGATTTACATACGATCATAATAACCATGACGTACAATCAATCGTCAGTAGGAATAGTACAGCAGGAATAATCTCACCTCTCAATCGACATCGCAGTGAGGGTGACGACCGAGCAGATTGCCGACACGCTCTGCATGTAATGCACCGCTTTGCATAGAAAGATACCCATGGTCCATGTGTAAGAGAACAGTTTCGCTATCTGCAACACAGAAATTACTGTACATGAATATTCAAAAGAGAAAAAGGGAGAAAACACCAAGCCTGAAAGGTTCTATTTACTAAAATTCCCGAGTCGATCACTCCACGTGCCACTTCAACGTAATTATTATAGAGAAAAACATGTAAATGATAATAGGGAGATCTCGTAATTTCTTACGAGAATATAAGTATCGGAATCAAAGATGAATTGCGGCAATCAATATGCGCTTCTTCCGGAAAATATCTCCTTCTGTTTTGTCGGCAAGTTTCAAGATTTGAATAACAAAAATGAATAAAATAGACCACATTTGATCAAGGTGGGTCTTGGTGCATAATAATTATATTTTTGTGTAAATTTTATAATTTCCAGTTCAAGCAAGCTGTACGATTATTTCTTGAAACACAATCTTAGACTAAAAATGATACGTAGTATTGATAAGCAATTTAATATTACTCTAATACTATTATGTAAGCATCTTTAAAACTCTATAAATAATTTATTTTAAAAATTTCAATAATTATTGATTTAACAAGGCAATTGCATATTGCTCGCGATACTAATCATTAAGATACACCATAATGCATAATAAGTAGGCGTTGAGCGGTTCACCAATGATATTTCCCGAGACGTAATTTTGCACTATTTGTCACGATTAAACGGCCTAGGATTGTGCACTCACGCACGCAATTATATCGGGCGAAGTTTCGCGCAGTCATGAGTAGAAAGGGGCGGTTTAATCCGTCAAATAGCACGGTAATTGCGTCGGAATATCCGAGTGCTAGTGGTAAGAGCACGCGCAGGCACGTACACGATGCGCCCGGGAACGCGGAAGCCTGAGATTTCCTCGGCGAGATTTCCTCTGGCTGTTCCGGCTTATCCCGCTCCCTGCGTCCTGTCTCGCAAACGTTATGTTCCCACGTGTAATGTGCGATTTAATAAACGCTGTTTATGACGGTATAAGACACAGCTGCGCGCACTGACAATGAATGGAAAATGATTAATGAATCATTGGGGGAAAAAGCATTCATTTTCATCCCAGGATTAGAGTGTCCACTTTAATCCCAGAATGATGAAACGAATAAAATATCCATAAATTTGGTATTTCATTGAAATAAAATATATAAAATCTCACGCATTAATCGACCTTATATATTTCTCTCTCTTTTTTTTGTTTTCGTCTTGCATAAAAAATACTACTCAATAAATACAATTATCTATGAATACAGGTATCTATAATTTCGTTATATATGTATATATAAATAGTTTTTAATTTTTTAACCAAATATTTATTTTACCAAATATTTGGTTCGCAATTTTGATATTAAAAAGTATACAATAGGAAATATTAATAAGGTAAAAACTTTAAGAAGTATACTGAAAAAATTGAATGATGTAATTAGAACAAAGCAAATTTCTCTTCATTTTTTACCAGAGAAAAGACCATTTAGCAATTTTGCAATTGGGATCGAAATATCGCCTCACTGAAAAGCACTTCGATCACTGATGGAGATACGGATTAAATTCGAAACTTCTCCGTCAAAGGAAACCTTCCGGCTTTAATCAACATCCCTTGTGTCAGACGCAGGTGTCTTTGTCGGTTTTGTTATAATCGATTTCTGATGTTAGAGATTTACACATTCGAATCTCGTTAAAAGTCGAAGTTCATTAAATTGTACGCACCACGTAGGGGGTCTCTGTATCTTATTGAACAGATACTTGTGACACATTATGCTAGCATTCTCGCGAAATTCAATATCTCGGAGGAGGAAAAAAAATACAACGAAAGTATAACGAAATAAAATGTAATTCTCCCAGTTTCTGCATGATGAGAAACGAAATTCCATCGAATTTGCGCTGACGTTATTAAAATTCAAAAACGAATATGACTGGAATTCTTCTCCTGTTTCTCATTGAACGAGACAATTTTTCGAGCAGCCGAATCGATCCCGCGGCGACATGGTAAAGTGAAAAATGTAGCGTCGGCAAATGTAAATAAGACTCGATATATAGACACGTTCTTGAGATATCCATCTCACGTGTGCCACAGCAATAACGATGAAAAGGAAGACCGAGGAGCGTTCTCCAAGGAGCGTGGGAGGACCATCGTTGAGAGAAAGGGAGTCCTCAAGGGGAACCGCACCGGAATAACGTGAGATCGAGCTGGGTTGCGGTCGACGTCCTTCTTATTTAATTTCCTCAAGAGAGAGCCAAGGATTGTACCCCTCGTCTTTTAAACGCTGACAGACTAATTTTGCCCGGATTCCCCTTACGTGACGGCCACCACTTGTCGTCAAGACGTTCAATTTGCGATCGTGCGACAACCCTGATTGCAGCGTGACGCGAATCGAGGGAATGCCTGCGAATTTGACGCGAAGGAATGTCATTTCCCTGTAACACTTAACCGATAATTAGTTCATCACTCGCAGTGAACTTACAGCGAGCATATCACGCGAAATGAAACAAGCATGCACGATAATATCGCGCGCAATGGAAACGAGCGACCTAATTAACTAACGTCACTCGTAAGGTGCTATTGTAACAACGCGTCACGACCAGCCAGTAAATCACGGATACGGGAGAAGAAAGGAAAGTGGGTGCAAAGAAATGCATTTACTACAAATATCGCGCTACATGGTAGCGCTCTTTATCGATTTAGGTCGTTTATGTCAATGTGGAGGAAACAAAAGGTAGATAGACAGATATCGATGTTAAAGTAAGTTGCCAAGCCGATGATCTTTTGACTAAATCTGAAGTCGATATTTTCTTTGGATATAAATTTGGTCCATTATCTATCTTTTTCAATTTGATTACTGACATTATATAAATTAGTAATTAAGTTAAAAAAAAGTTCAAAAATCTTACTAAAGTATAGTCCACATTTAAAATTATAATAAATTTTTATTTTCAAAAATTTTTCGCTAAAGGAAAATATAAATCTGCTTGTTAAACTTTCAGATTTTATCTTGAATTACTTTATTACGGTATATAACCTTATAAGTATTTCCAATTTTTATAGTTCAAAGAAAAAAGGTTTAGACAAGAAATAAGGGTAACAAGGAACAATGACATTTTTTCTAGAATAGCGATTGACATGTTTAGGGTTAATAACTACGAGATAACGATCTCGCCTAAGCCGGAAATTGCTCATATAACCTATGAACCAAGAGATATATTCGACGTACACGGTTTAACGCAATCACGCCTGATATAGGTCGTCGCTCATCCCCAAAAACCGTTTCATACCGGTCCAAATCACGACGAGCAATAAATAACAAACGAGCTGCTCGGTCTTTTCATTTTCGCGGCATCGACCGCGTTATCGAAACAGTCTCGGTACAATTTATTTCTCTCTATTTCCCTTTCTCTCCTGTGCCAGACAGAACAAGGATTGTCCACGTTCGACGCGACAATCCGGAATGGCTTCTCGACAATTGCGAAATTCGATATTGTCGCGCAAAGAAAGTAAATTGGTGTGACTAGGAGAATAATTGTTTTCTCGACAGAAAAGTACAGACCCTTTCTCTTCTTTTTGTCGTTTCTTCTGTTGAAAGATCGAAGCCAAATGTGAAAATACTCGGTTTGAAATAAGTAAAGAAGTTACCCAGAAGAAATCCTGGCGAAAGGTAAATAATTAATATCACGATTAAAGAACTAAGAACTAGAATTTGCTAAGAATAGATCGAACATCAGAGTCTGGCGCGAGAATAAATGATTACATATCGCTCCCTTACTTCAAAAGTAGCACAACTAAAAAAACATGATTTTCAAGTTATTACTATGAATGAGTTAAATAAACATTATTCTATCGATCATTAACTCAAATTCAGAAAAAAGTCAAAATCGTCACAATTCAACAACGAATAGCTTAATTTAAAAGGATTATGAAACGAAAATGACAAAAACCAAATTTAATCATGTTAAACAAAATTTTTTTGCTCATATTATTTGATTAGTCAATAATTTCCTGTCAAGTTCAAATTTAATTTTGAAGTAAGGGAACAATATCTTCTAAACTCTTCGATGCTACTTCTAGTGTGACATACCGAAAGCTTTTTTTACTTCACTATACCATAATTTTTTATTAATAAAGATACACACATTCGTTTATTACTGTTTTATTCTTTAATGTCTGGCGTTTCGATTAAAAATAAATTTATTATAATATGTTCATTTTTATGCGATATTTTTACATAATACTCATATGATCAATGCGTGACAAAACGGTATAGAGTGGCACCGAAGGGTTAATTATATGTAAACGTATCAATAATATTCACAATCATCCTGTATTATAAAATAATTATAGAACCACAGTTTCGAAATCGCTCGTTCGCTATTTTGTCGCTTAACATCACAATTTGAAATAACATTTATCGCTATTCTCCAAGATGCGATGCAAATCTATGCAGAAAAATATTAACGAATCTTTTCTTTCAGTAAAAATCACGTCGCAACATAAAAGGAAATGAGGGAGTAATACGCACATCATATGAAAAGGTGCACATTTGCGTAAATGACTTACTTGAGGGAAGAAAGAATACGCTGGCAAAATCTTGTACTGTGTAATAATAGTGTACGGTACTAATGATAATTAAATGGTATATTTTTTTTAATTAAAATTTTAGTCGAGTACTATTTAAACGTCACCAAGCGTAACAATAGAACATACAAAGTAAAAAATATCTTATGTGTCTTTTTCTATTCTTAACAAAGGATAAAGTAATTAATTGATGTCAACATTAAAAACATTGTAGTTAACAAAAGCTCTGTGATTTCACGCAGTCTTTTAAATTTCCAAGATCTGTAATAAAAGAATAGCAACCGGAAAAAAAGAAAATTCAGAAATACAAAGAGATAGTAAAAGCTTTATCTCTTATTTAATTTCAAGCTGATTTTACTTAGCAGATTTGAGGATTAATTATAATCCTCGAAATAACACGTAGGAGTACATGTGTCTAATATAAAAAATTCAAGTTATTATTATGAATAAATTAAACAAA